ATCAACATGTTTGTAGTGTATAAACGAATCACCATGTTTGTAGTGTATAAACGAATCACCATGTTTGTAGTGTATAAACGAATCAACCATGTTTGTAGTGTATAAACGAATCACCATGTTTGTAGTGTATAAACGAATCACCATGTTTGTAGTTATGAATCACCATGTTTTGTAGTGTATAAACGAATCACCATGTTTGTAGTGTATAAACGAATCACCATGTTTGTAGTGTATAAACGAATCACCATGTTTGTAGTGTATAAACGAATCAACATGTTTGTAGTGTATAAACGAATCCAACATGTTGTGTATAAACGAATAGTGTATAAACGAATCAACATGTTTGTAGTGTATAAACGAATCACCATGTTTGTAGTGTATAAACGAATCACCATGTTTGTAGTGTATAAACGAATCAACATGTTTGTAGTGTATAAACGAATCAACATGTTTGTAGTGTATAAACGAATCAACATGTTTGTAGTGTATAAACGAATCACCATGTTTGTAGTGTATAAACGAATCCACCATGTTTGTAGTGTATAAACGAATCACCATGTTTGTAGTGTATAAACGAATCACCATGTTTGTAGTGTATAAACGAATCACCATGTTTGTAGTGTATAAACGAATCAACATGTTTGTAGTGTATAAACGAATCACCATGTTTGTAGTGTATAAACGAATCACCATGTTTGTAGTGTATAAACGAATCAACATGTTTGTAGTGTATAAACGAATCACCATGTTTGTAGTGTATAAACGAATCAACATGTTTGTAGTGTATAAACGAATCACCATGTTTGTAGTGTATAAACGAATCACCATGTTTGTAGTGTATAAACGAATCACCATGTTTGTAGTGTATAAACGAATCACCATGTTTGTAGTGTATAAACGAATCACCATGTTTGTAGTGTATAAACGAATCAACATGTTTGTAGTGTATAAACGAATCACCATGTTTGTAGTGTATAAACGAATCACCATGTTTGTAGTGTATAAACGAATCAACATGTTTGTAGTGTATAAACGAATCACCATGTTTGTAGTGTATAAACGAATCAACATGTTTGTAGTGTATAAACGAATCAACATGTTTGTAGTGTATAAACGAATCACCATGTTTGTAGTGTATAAACGAATCACCATGTTTGTAGTGTATAAACGAATCACCATGTTTGTAGTGTATAAACGAATCACCATGTTTGTAGTGTATAAACGAATCAACATGTTTGTAGTGTATAAACGAATCACCATGTTTGTAGTGTATAAACGAATCAACATGTTTGTGGTGTATAAACGAATCACCATGTGAGTGTTTGTAGTGTATAAACGAATCAACATGTTTGTAGTGTATAAACGAATCACCATGTTTTGTAGTGTATAAACGAATCACCATGTTTGTAGTGTATAAACGAATCACCATGTTTGTAGTGTATAAACGAATCAACATGTTTGTAGTGTATAAACGAATCACCATGTTTGTAGTGTATAAAGGAATCAACATGTTTGTAGTGTATAAACGAATCACCATGTTTGTAGTGTATAAACGAATCAACATGTTTGTAGTGTATAAACGAATCATGTTTATGTGTGTTTGTAGTGTATAAACGAATCAACATGTTTGTAGTGTATAAACTAATCACCATGTTTGTAGTGTATAAACGAATCAACATGTTTGTAGTGTATAAACGAATCAACATGTGTGTAGGGTATAAACGAATCACCATGTTTGTAGTGTATAAACGAATCACCATGTTTGTAGTGTATAAACGAATCAACATGTTTGTAGTGTATAAACGAATCAAAATGTTTGTAGTGTATAAACGAATCACCATGTTTGTAGTGTATAAACGAATCACCATGTTTGTAGTGTATAAACGAATCACCATGTTTGTAGTGTATAAACGAATCACCATGTTTGTAGTGTATAAACGAATCACCTTGTTTCTAGTGTATAAACGAATCAACATGTTTCTAGTGTATAAACGAATCACCATGTTTGTAGTGTATAAAGGAATCAACATGTTTGTAGTGTATAAACGAATCACCATGTTTGTAGTGTATAAACGAATCACCATGTTTGTAGTGTATAAAGGAATCAACATGCTTCTAGTGTATAAAGGAATCAACATGTTTGTAGTGTATAAACGAATCAACATGTTTGTAGTGTATAAACGAATCACCATGTTTGTAGTGTATAAACGAATCACCATGTTTGTACTGTATAAACGAATCACCATGTTTGTAGTGTATAAACGAATCACCATGTTTGTAGTGTATAAACGAATCACCATGTTTGTAGTGCATAAACGAATCACCATGTTTGTAGTGTATAAACGAATCACCATGTTTGTAGTGTATAAACGAATCACCATGTTTGTAGTGTATAAACGAATCACCATGTTTGTAGTGTATAAACGAATCAACATGTTTGTAGTGTATATACGAATCAACATGTTTGTAGTGTATAAACGAATCAACATGTTTGTAGTGTATAAAGGAATCAACATGCTTGTAGTGTATAAACTAATCAACATGTTTGTAGTGTATAAACGAAGCACCATGTTTGTAGTGTATAAACGAATCAACATGTTCGTAGTGTATAAACGAATCAACATGTGTGTGGGGTATAAACGAATCACCATGTTTGTAGTGTATAAACGAATCACCATGTTTGTAGTGTATAAACGAATCACCATGTTTGTAGTGTATAAACGAATCACCATGTTTGTATTGGATAAACGAATCAACATGTGTGTAGTGTATAAACGAATCAACATGTTTGTAGTGTATAAACGAATCACCATGTTTGTAGTGTATAAACGAATCACCATGTTTGTAGTGGATAAACGAATCAACATGTTTGTAGTGTATAAACGAATCACCATGTTTGTAGTGTATAAACGAATCACCATGTTTGTAGTGTATAAACGAATCACCATGTTTGTAGTGTATAAACGAATCACCATGTTTGTAGTGTATAAACGAATCACCATGTTTGTAGTGTATAAACGAATCAACATGTTTGTAGTGTATAAACGAATCAACATGTTTGTAGTGTATAAACGAATCAACATGTTTGTAGTGTATAAACGAATCACCATGTTTGTAGTGTATAAACGAATCACCATGTTTGTAGTGTATAAACGAATCACCATGTTTGTAGTGTATAAACGAATCACCTTGTTTCTAGTGTATAAACGAATCAACATGTTTCTAGTGTATAAACGAATCAACATGTTTGTAGTGTATAAACGAATCAACATGTTTGTAGTGTATAAACGAATCACCATGTTTGTACTGTATAAACGAATCAACATGTTTGTAGTGTATAAACGAATCACCATGTTTGTAGTGTATAAAGGAATCACCATGTTTGTAGTGTATAAACGAATCACCATGTTTGTAGTGTATAAACGAATCAACATGTTTGTAGTGTATAAACGAATCAACATTTTTGTAGTGTATTAACGAATCAACATGTGTGTGGTGTATAAACGAATCACCATGTTTGTAGTGTATAAACGAATCACCATGTTTGTAGTGTATAAACGAATCACCATGTTTGTAGTGTATAAACGAATCAACATGTTTGTAGTGTATAAACGAATCAACATGTTTGTAGTGTATAAACGAATCAACATGTTTGTAGTGTATAAACTAATCAACATGTTTGTATTGGATAAACGAATGAACATGTGTGTAGTGTATAAACGAATCAACATGTTTGTAGTGTATAAACGAATCACCATGTTTGTAGTGTATAAACGAATCACCATGTTTGTAGTGTATAAACGAATCACCATGTTTGTAGTGTATAAACGAATCAACATGTTTGTAGTGTATAAACGAATCAACATGTGTGTGGGGTATAAACGAATCACCATGTTTGTACTGTATAAACGAATCACCATGTTTGTAGTGTATAAACGAATTACCATGTTTGTAGTGTATAAACGAATCACGATGTTTGTAGTGTATAAACGAATCAACATGTGTGTAGTGTATAAACGAATCAACATGTTTGTAGTGTATAAACGAATCAACATGTTTGTAGTGTATAAACTAATCAACATGTTTGTAGTGTATAAACGAATCACCATGTTTGTAGTGTATAAACGAATCAACATGTTTGTAGTGTATGAACGAATCAACATGTGTGTGGGGCATAAACGAATCAACATGTTTGTAGTGTATAAACGAATCAACATGTTTGTAGTGTATAAACGAATCACCATGTTTGTAGTGTATAAACGAATCACCATGTTTGTAGTGTATAAACGAATCACCATGTTTGTAGTGTATAAACGAATCACCATGTTTGTATTGGATAAACGAATCAACATGTGTGTAGTGTATAAACGAATCAACATGTTTGTATAAGGAGTTACTAGTATGTGTTTTATAGTTAGCATTATAATCTTTACCGTTCATTCAGAATCAGTTTAAGTACAAACTCGCAAACTCGGCAAGAATGAGGAAAAAAACCCGCAGAAATATTAGTTTTCACATGTATGCTTCTATAGATAATGATCAGTTCATCATGGCACACATCAAACAATCTCGTGTCAAGATGAAGGACATCTGTTTTCAATATTTTGTATAACGTCCATGAGAATCCAGAACTGCCTGTCGTGGTCGCACTACTGCCTTTCGACTACGACATAATGCCAGGGGAATGTTCACTAACTCTTCCTGCAGTGCTTGTTCCAACTGTTGGAGGTGTTGTGGCTGATACTGACGTGGTTGTAGACGTAGATCAAGAACATCCTATACATTTTCGATGGGGTTAAAGTCTTTATACCTTGATTGCCATGACAGAAAAATCAGCAATATTTCGGTTGTGAAAAGTTACATGCACATTTCGTTTTAATGATGTAACTAGTCATGTAGGCTGTGGATTTGTTAGTTACATGGATCTGTTTTCATATACTTCAGTATCTGTATAGTCCTGTCAGTACAGTATTAGACAGTGAATGTTATATTTCTTTCAGCCGTTGACACAGTGGAGGTACACATAACCAGCGAAAATGCTGCTACCGAGGATCGCTTGACCGAAGTAGGCAACAAACGTGGAGTGTGGGACAATTTGCGACAGTTCTTCAGCACACTATATGCTGGACTGGAGCGGATATATCGGGGGAGTGTGGTGATGAAACTCCGGGTGACAGACTCCAACTTCCTCCATTGTATCGAGAAGGCAGCCAAGGAAGGTCGACTGAATGAACTCATCCTGGATCTCCTTCAAGAAGAGGGCGTTTTCGACACGATTAAAGGTCAAAAGGTGGAGATAACTGTTGAAGTCAGGATTCCGGAAGACCAGTATGGTAGGTTTGGTCAGCTGTACGCATGACAGTTCAATTAAGTAATTTGTATGTTTTGTCACTACCTAATTCAATAGTTTCATTTAACGTGACACTGCTTTCATATTTGAGCTGGCAGGGAAGTACATTTCAAAGACATCTGGAAGCTAATGCATTCTGATTTAGACCAAACCTAAATACTGGTTACATCAATATATTTTCTTTTATTCAGAGGAAATGTCAAAAGAGATGGAAAGGTTGGTATGAAATGTTCTTAAAAACTTAAAACTTGTTTGTAGAATATGCCATTTTGGCATACATATCTTAAGTGTCTTTAAACGTGATTCCAAACACACTGAGTCTATCGCTAGGAAACCATTTTAATTGCAGTAAAACCTGAGCGTGTGAACCACGTGTGAATTTAGATACATTAACACAGACAAATTAAATGTCCATTAAAGGCCAATGCCACAGGGTTTCATCTGTCAGTTAGCTTGGTTAGCAGAGGAACGGCTGAAACACCCTTTTTCATAATTACTACTGCTACTGCTACTGCTACTACTACTACTACTACTACTACTGCTGCTGCTTACTACTACTACTACTATTACTACTACTACTACTGCTACTGCTACTCCTCGTACTACTACTACTACTAAAATGTTGAGAACAATGGGCGTTTTCTTTGTTACTTTTAACTGTGTAGTAATATACTCCCATATGACGTACCAATATAACTTAACCACTGGCAACTTACATACACAAAATGACCGTATTACCCAAATTTACTAACATTAGGGAATATACGTTTCATCCGGCGGCCATATGAACAACGTTTGAAATCTACGTATCATCGGGCTGTCAGATTTACACACATTTAAAGGGGTGTTAAAATAAATGAACACTCAACTCTGTATTTGCTTGTATTTCACAGGTGTGTAAATCTGGTCATTGTTTTCTCGCATGTGTAACGTATGTAAATGCTGTGATTGTAGGACATGCATTTCAATACCTTTGAAATCTCGTATGACCAGGGTTAGGTTTGTCATATATTTAGTACACGCGTACTTCTTATATATGACATACAAGGAGAGACAGCTTATTGCAATAAAACACAGACAGGTGTGTTCACATAGCTGCACAAATTTCATTATCTATACTTTCGAAAAAGATGATTATAATGTATTACTGATGTGAAGTCCTGTTTTAAATGTGTAAATATGCACATACTTGGTATTAGAGCTGTGCTTCGTAGTGTAAGTGGAGAGACGATACAACTTGATACCAGTTTAATGAGGTGAGACGATATATCATGAGTAAGTGAGTTAAAGTTTACAGTCACAGTGGCAGTATTTCAGCCATATCGTGACTACAAATAGTTATAAATTCATGAAAACCTGTGTTACTTTCACTCACACACACACTTAAAGAGCTGTTGATCTCATAAAATTTCAGCATTTCATGTTGAAGAAGGTACAGTCAAACATGTTCAGCACACCTTAAAATACATTTGAAACTGAAGTTTCCTTTTGGAAGTTGAGTATCCACACCAATTCTTTCACAAACAATTCAATGTAATTTATATCAGAATTCAGAATCACTGAAAAAACTCTTAAGTCTGCTGTCTAAATTGTATCTTATCTTTGTTCTCTTTCTTAACAAAGCTAAGACATCATTCATAGTTGTGAATAAATGGTGTTATTTGTCAAACAACCAAAACATATTTCAATTGCTTGAAGACAAGTATTGTACAGTTCACAGAGTTTGAAAAATGTTCACACTCTATCACTTCTACACCAACTCCTTTGTTCATGTAACAGATACAAACAAATATTCCTACTGTCCAACCAACATTAGAATGAGGTGCGCGAAAGACGCGTTTGTTAAAGAAGAGCTGGGAGCGTGTCGTGAACTGATCCACTACCTTCTCGAAGGGGGAACAGGTGTGAAAACTTCGGGCACGTGATTTTTGTGATCCTTGCAGTAATCACTTTCTGCGCAATGATTCGGAAATGTCGTGTTTCTGCTCGAGCATGTGTATACTAGTATCTTGTAAAGTGAACTGTTAAAAGAGTATCACACTCTGCAGGTATTTGAAACTTATCATGTCGCACTCTAAATTGGGTAAACGGGGTCAAGTCATTCATTCACAAAAACGTGAGGTTGCCTACAATGTCATTCAGTACATGTGTACTATTTCCGACAGCACACACAGTGCACTCAAAAAAGCGAGCGATGCTGCTGGTATATCTGTCAGTACCTTACGCAAAATAAAGGACGAAGGTAAACAGGGGTGAGCTACCATTAAGAAAAAAAAGCCCGGGCTCACACATGATTTTGAAAAGTTGGGCAAGCTCTCAACACTTACTAAATATAAAGCTTTGCAACATACCGGGCTTACACGAAAAAAAAAATTCGTTATTTCTTTCTTTTTCTTTCCTTTCTTTACACTTCGATGTATTAGTTTGAACACTTCGATGTATTAGTTTGGACACTTCGATGTATTAGTTTGAACACTTCGATGTATTAGTTTGGACACTTCGATGTATTAGTTTGAGAAAAACATTGTCAACGTGCGATGTGTGCACATGATACTTAACACTGACGTAGTTTCATAGGGGTCGTGTTGAACATTATTTTGGTCTGTGTACTTCAGTGATAACTGTGCTGAGCTATGACACCTCTGTGAACTGTTAATCAGTGTAATGGTATGTTATGGCTTTGCCGGGTTTAACAGAAACCAAGTCAGAATCTCGCTGCTGGAATCAAGAGAGCTACGTGCTGTTGTAAGACCATACCCCTCTTTTTATACCTGAACTGGTATACATTTTCTTGACAAAGAACTAAGTCATATTCAAGGTTGCGGTACTTCTTCTCATAGCTACATGCACAATTGTCCTAAAGGTGCCTCCACATGACGAATGTGAACCTTGCTCTCTCCTCTCGGTGTTCACATAGTACATTTGTTTGTCACAGGTGCAGTAGTTAAGCTGTCGAATGGTGTTTACAGGTTATTCATTGAAGACAAAAGATGTTTACCGGTCGTTGTCAAGTTAAGATGATAGTGTAGGTATTTATGCAATATGGAAATCCGTAATGTATGGTGAATGCAGTGACATAATGGCTATATTGCACCTGCAAGCAGGACCATATGAGTGTAAATAGTATCAACAGGGCACACAAAGGGTCCTGTGTAAACTCAACTGACACCTTTCACAACAAAGTGTGACGAAGGTGGGTTACTTAGAAATACTAAGCTGTATACATGGTATACTTTGCTGTACATAACCAACGCATGCATACAAAACATCTGGAGTGACAAAAGACTTAGTGAGTGAATACGTAAATATTGCTTAAAGGTGAGTCAGCAGTATTGCAAGTATTTGCAGCTAAGTTTGTAAGAATATATGACGAAACACTTAATTGTGTATGATTATATCAAAAGTGTGATATTTATTATCCAAAATGTCTTCTGGGCGAACTACGGAAACATAAACGACCCACTCTACTAAAATGCATTGTGTATGTAGAATATTTGTGCATATAATATATTGTGAAGCGGTTGCAATGGTATGTATGTATGTCCGCCCACGTGTTGGAAAAAACACACTCATACACTCACTTGACTTTCTATGGCATGTTTGAACAAACACAGCTGTTAACCTTAATGATCTTGAAGAATATCTCATTTGTAATCGGTGTGATGGTCTGAAACTAGAATACGATAATGATCACGTGACCAGCTACCTTAAACTCTTAGTGATTTATTTTTTCATTTGTTCCCATAATTGAATACAAGCATATAAAGTAAAGCAGAAAGTGTACATATGCATGATCAAAGTTCATCAACTGGTAGCATGAAGAAGCTATAATGCAATAAAGTTATTCAAGTTTGATTCCAGATTAAGTCAGAGATTGAAAACTGAGGATAAAGGAAACCATTTCTCTGAAAATTATCAAAATTATTGTTCCTTCTAGATATGAATTTTTCAACCGTGTAAGTGTCTTTAAAAAGTTTTAAGACATTATTAACTTTTGGAATTATTTTCTTTAAAGTGCAAGTATATATATATGACTTTTAGCATAAACGATTATATGATTTAGCAATGGCTTATTACCGGAAACCAAACCAAACCAAAGTCTTTCTTATTTCAAATTTCTGTTTGTTTTGGATTATCCAGTTTTCAAGTTCTTTCCAGAAGGTTTGGGTTACAACACATTCCCAATATACATGACATAAAGTTTCACTATCAACATTACAAAAACCATATATGTTCCTACAATATCAAATTTGAGTTTCAGATCTTCAAAAGAGTTAAAATACCTTCATTACAAAGGTCCTTAATTGTTAAAATTCCATTTTTAGCCCAATGCCTAATAAAGTGATTTGGGTTTTTGAAATTATCACCATGAAAAAAGCCCCGGGCTTAGACATGATTTTGAAAATGAAAGTTGGGCAAGGTCTCAACAATATTAAATATACTGCTTTGCAACCTACCGGGCTTACACGACAAGAATTGGCTTGCTACGCGCCTGGTAAATGCGTTCCCGCGATGGGTACCAGTAAGTTCACAAGCCCAGGGAAAGTGCGTACTCGTACCGAAGGGAAAATTGAATTTGATGATTTTGATAAATGCGCAATTCGCCAGTACATTCAACACTGCTACACAGTAACCAAGACAATGCCAACACTGACAGTTTATGGCTTTACATACCCTCGGAACCTTAATGGTAAAATGGACTGCACCACTATTCAGATGCACGGGTTCAAATGACAGGTCGGCATTATTCGTCTCACAGTACAAGGTTCACTTCAGAAGAATTTCAAAGACACTCCCTTCCTATTCCTAATGCAATACTCCTTACAACTTTCAGTAGTACTTAAGTAGTATCGGGATATATCGTCTCTTGTGGCGATACATCGATGTATCACAGCCCTTGCGATATTAATATCCTGATGTATTGCCTAAATGTGTTTTGTATGGATGCATTCGTATCGCAAAGTTGACTATGCAAACATCGATACTATCGATGAATCGTTGCACCACTACGTCAGATTGCCTCTTTTGATTCGGAATACAGATGTTGTCCCATACGGACGTTTTCTCAAATTTAAGTTACCCGACGGAATATACTGTACACCTATTTTGATTCCATCTCTTGGGTAGATTATAGAAAACTGTAGTGATTGCAATTAGTTCATAAAGTTAGATAACTAAGCAGTTTCTGTAATTATTGAAAGCTTACTACCTGACAT